GTGCAGGATGTGGCGGAGCAAGGTGCGGCGGAATGGTAAACCAAGTGAAGAGACTTAATACTATTCTATTTATCAAGTACTAATTTGTAGTCAACTAAAATTATTAATTAATAATTATTAATTAATTTTAATTCTTTAAAAACTTCCCAATCGTTTATTGAAAATATTCCTAACCAAAGTCACGATCTCGTAGAAATTGATAACAATAGTTACGAATAGATTTACAAAATACGATTATCAAGACAAATGCTTTCTCAACTAAATAAAATATAGAAAGAAATCAGGACTTTAGTAAACACAGGAATATTTGCCCATTACAACAATTTAAAATATTTACAATTAACACAACTCGAAACTCTTTAAGCCTATTTATTACCTTTCACAGTTTCCTCTGTTTTCACTTCCCTTTACCACATAATTTTCATGTTATTTCTCTTAATCGTGTAACTCATCTAGACTTTGGTTTGCGGAAAATGACGGACGCCATGGAATACCTAATGCAGTTTTTTTCAGGAAATCACAAATTATCATTAATTCTTAATAACGAAACCAATCATATCATTTCAAATAACGGTTTGGTTCCGCAACCATTTAATAAAGTATTTGGGTTTCGTTTGTAGACAAAAAAACTTCGGTTCCGGTTTATTTAGTTGGAATGGTAAACTTAGTTTCAACCAAATATCGAGAAAGTATGTCAAAAAAATTGTTCTGAGTACACAAATTCTGTCAAAGTAATAGAAGAGCTTATTTTCAAAGTAACGAATCTGTTCTTCATTGCCGATTGTTTTCTTGTTTGGCGTATCAATATTTTCTTAAGACAATTATCCTTCATGCTGCCAAATATTGTTTCTTTTTCGTTGTGAAATGAATGTGAATACTCTCCGTAAATGTAGAGAATGTGAATATTTCCATTTCTCAAAAACTGTATTACATGCATAAACGTAGCATTTTGATACAAGCTCTTTTCTTTCACAAATCGAACGATAACGGAATTGAATAGATTGTCTGCAAAAATCTCTGAACCCTTTCCTCGTAACGTTCAACAGTTTAGGAAAGTAATTTAGGGTATTACTAAGTAAATGAGGGACTTCACTAAGAATAGTAGGTTATAGAGCAAAGCATAAATGATAAATATGAAGTGAAGTGTCGTGCTCTGCAGAAGAGAGAAATAATGAAGGAAGCGATTAAATGGTTACAGTGAAGTGAAGTGAAGTGAAGTGAAGTGAAATGAAATGAAATGAAGTGAAGTGAAGTGAAGTGAAGTGCAGTGTGATCTTAATTGAACAAGCATTCAGTGCTGAGTTAGATCCCAGAAATTGTTTTTTTTTTTAAGTTAATTTAATGTTTAATGAAATAGACAGTTTTTATATCATTATTATTTTTTCTATAAATGTAATTTTTATTATTATTGTTGTCATTATTATCGTCGTTTTACCTACTGTTTTTATTGTTTCTATGATTATTATTGCACCGATATTATATTATTATTATTATTATTATTATATAATTTCCATGTTAGATATATTATCTTATTTATGTAATTAGATGCCTCCGGGTTATGCCCATTTGCAGTTCAAATAAATTTATTTTCTCTAATTTATCTCATATTAATCGGAGAAACCACCGAAAAGTACCCATGAGAGTACCCGCTCCCTAGACTTCTCCATCAGACCGGCTGAACTCGGCCCATCTGTAATGCCAGTGCCGAAAATCCTTCACCGTCGGGACCGGACACCTAGCACCTCCCGGACAGAGTGACTGAAGTGGCAACAGTTGCATGCTCCTGCGTTGGTCACGCGGCTGAGGCAGCTGCGTGGGACTCACTGTGGAGGCAGCGACGCCCGGCGGCGGCGGCCACGGTGCGCGGCGGGCACACGCACACGTTCTTCTCGCAGTGCGACAGCGGCACGTGGCAGCGCCCGCTCCGCAGGCACCGCGCGCCCAGCTGACCTGCAAAGCACACACATTCATTTATTTTATTTATTTCATCTATAGAGAACAAAGGATTTTAATGGCCAATGATAAGCCGCTACAATACTCCGTTTCCCAAAAACTGTGTCTTAGGAATAAACGTAGCATTTTGATACAAGCCCTTCAACTGATTGATTATTTCTAATTTCCCGTAAGAGCAGTGCATGTTATGCATCGCGAAGTGGAAACCACTTATTACCTAAGGGTTGAACAATTTTTTCTTAATACTATTTTATAACATGGACTTATCTCATACAAATAGAAGAACGAAAAGTCTTTGTTAACGGATTGCGTCCGTTAAGAACAATCTGCCGTTCGTTAAGAACAATAGAAACAAATAAATTTTAGCTGAAGAATTGTCTTAATCCATGAAATAGTATTGTTTGTCTGCATGATTTTTTAAATAATATTTACCAAAAGTACTAAACTACAGACAACGGATAACGCAAATAATGTTCTTAAATTCAAATACATAAATGATGAGATGAAATGATCTGTTAAAATCTTTCGTTGCGTCAGTACGTGACATGCGAAACACCAGCGTACGACGAGTTGCCTACCATTCAGGGGCAAATGCCACACGTGTAACATCGTTATTTGCTTCATTCGTGATTCCGGGCAGATCATCATCTAAGGTTATTAACACCGTAAGTGTGGTGCATGTTTTACTTCCGGATCTATGGCCTGTTTGTTAGGGCACTGCTCCGGCATTTGCCTGGTGTCGCTCGGAGAATCCACGATAAAATATTGATCAGAGCAGTTAGCCGCTAGCTTACTTGTCCTGACAGTGGCTGAATTCGATCTAGCTATCCAGCTAGTGTCGAAAATCCTGCCACCGTCGAGACTCGAACCCTAGGACGTCCCGGCCAGAGGCTCTACAAATTGATGCCCTGAACCAGCGTTGCCGGTCTTTGTAATTTGAAATTTCGCACCATACGTAGAATTCTCTCACCTTCGAACCTCCTTCAAGCCCTGGACGTATTTATTGTAAGGCATTTTGTATGCACCACAATAAATGTAATAGTTGTACTATGTAACTTCTGTCGATCAAAGTTGTTTCATAAATAATCATCTTAATTATAACTACAGCGGGCCTGGAGCAGGGGTGCAGTGACGCAGGGGCATGGAACAGCGCCCGATCATGCAGGGCCGGAGGCTGAGGGGACGAAGCCATAAATGCTTTTACCATGAGGTTGTCTCGGGAGTGATTCTCAAATAATCGCATACCTATCCTATCTGAGCGTCATCCCATAATTATTCACATCTCTTCATCATTAACGTGTAGGAACACCGTCACACATACACACGCACGCACAATGGAAGTTAGCAACAAACCACTCTGGTATTAAGGAAAGTGGTCATAAAGGAGTACGTCCCTTCCCTCACCATTAGTAATAAGTGAGGCACTTTCCCATCTTCAACAAAAGAAAGTCATTGCATTAAAATGATTTCCTTTAAATTCAGAATTCTTATTTCACGATTTTTTCCAGGAAAATCTCCATATTAACTCTTCGCCCCTTCTTCATTTCACTGCAAGTTCACAGGTGCTCACAGTTCGCTACTTTTTGAAGAACTGTCCAAGTTTTAAATAATAGTTACACATATGCCTGGTTTCAAGTGCAGTTCCCTCCAACGCAGACACCAGTTTTTCTGAAAAATCCTGTGGACTAAATTTAGTTGTTTGCTCACAGTCAATCAGGCTACACGGACATGTGAGCAAACGAACGAAAGCGTAGACAGATGAGTTAACAATATTGAGAAAAAAATTGATATTAGGGGCACTCAAATAGAGCAATTCCATGAAAATTTTGAGATTGATTTTTTGTTGCACAATCTAGCCTCCTCTAAACTACACATATTCGTGAAAGTTAAAAAGGAATGAAAGCGATACGTAATTATTTTATTTTCACCTCACTTGAAAGAATTTTACTTTGTATGTGCCAATTCTCAAGATGTCGATGTCCGTCGGGTGCAATGAAGTTGTTCCAATTGCTTTGTTTTGTCGACACCGATAAGGCGCAGGAACTTCCGCTTCTGCTCTTACGAAACGCCTTTCCGCCCTTCCGCACTTCCGCTCCAAGATACGGCCTTCGCCGTCTGGCCATGCGTTGCGGCTGCCTTCGTCTCTGCGCACGTCCGGTTCGCAAGGCACAGAGCAGGGCAAAGGAGTAGTATTTAAGTGACATTTAACCAACGATACACCAATTTTGAAACACACAGGAAGCCCAAAGCTGGTAAACGGTTTATATGTTGCGGCTAATATAAGAATACGGCTAATTTGCAAACGGTATGACAAGAAACGCAAACCTAATATTTCATATTCAACTATTCCCTTCAGCGCTTAGACCCACTTTGCACTCTCGTGAACAGAGGGATTTTCGTTTTTTGGGCTTACTCCATGTGATGATAACGAGAGCAGCTAGAAGCCGGAGACAAGTGATGAAACTGAGGGAACAATTGCATGACTGAATCCAATGAGCCTTCGCTTCAAGGTTAGTGCGTCTACAGGAAAAATGTCTAAACTGTATTAAAGTCTAACAGAAAAAAATGTGTATTAAAAATGTGGTATTCAGCTATATTAAGTCTAATTATTAAACGTACACAGCTAAAATGACTACCAACAAAATGTCTACAGCTAAAATGTCTACTAACTACAAAGTCTATTATCTAAACGTTTACTAGCTAAAAGTCTAACAGAAATATCTAACACGGATTCTGTTATATTACTCATTTTATAAATATATTTTTCCTGTTAAACATGCGTTTATAATTACACTTACTAACCAGTCAAACAAATTTTCATACGTAGATCCTTTTTGCATGCACACATATTTGCAATATTCACTTTTGCATGTGTTCACACGTTTACTTGTAGTCATTTAGATAATAGACATTTCTGCATTTAGACATACTGGCATTAGACTTTTATTCATGTAGACTAGCGCGATGTGTAGACATTATTAGTATCAGAGATACGATTGTCGGTCGAGAAAAAATCCTCCTCTTCATAAGCAGGGAAAATATTTTTTTATGATGTATTTATGTACTTGGCGCAACAGCCCGTGAAAGGGCACACCATATTCTTGACTCGGCCGAGAAATGAATCCAGGGCCTCGTATTAGAAAGCGAGCACGCTGACCCACGAGCAGAATGTGGATCTCCCAACAAAATCGCATTTCTAATATTAATTTCCCACATCAGGCACATTTTGCGTAAAACCAGTCTGAACATTTGAGCTCCGTCTTACGTTACACGCCCACCTCTGCAGAATCAATTTCACGCAACAACAATATTACCGACTAGTGTTTTGAGTTCCTTCGCATGCTTAAACTGAGTTTCAGACCCACGCCGTTCATTGAGGCGCAAAGAAAATACTCGGCGTCAACGACATACTGATATGCAGACGCAGCAGGTGATCTCCACAGGTCACAAGTTAGACAAGCGAAGAATATCAACTTAAATTCGATTGCGCATCAATTAAATTAGTACAAATAAAAATTATTTAAAAGAGGAACGCAAGATATGTGCAGCAGCACCGGAGCACATTAAGACGTACCGTCTTTGCTATAGAGGAGTTACTCTAAGAAGGGACCACATTGACATGACGTGAAACAAATGAACGTCATGAAGGGCGATGATATTGCAAGAGATAGTGATGAAGCCATTTACAAATGAGCTAATTGTAAAAGTGCGCACTGACAAAATGAGTACATGGCCATAACCCGCTGTTATATTGCCAGCAGTGGCCAAGCAGTAGCAGTCGAAGCGGTGCCTTCTTATAGTAATCTCACTATATTGAGAAGCTAATGGTCCAAAAACTACAGGAAGTGACCCATAACACTATAGAGACAATCGCCGTGCAGTTGTCTCTGAAGCTTGAGCATCGACTCGCGCTCTTAGGCCGATGGGGCAAACTTCCTCTGAGGAGAACCGGTGACGCACGCGGCTTCCCAGCTTACTCTTTGTTCTTGTTCGCTGAGAAGGAACATCTACTTAACAAAATCGGAATGGTGCGCTTCGTCGGAATTGGTATGTGTCTATGAAATATTTGTTAAAATGAACATGTGGAACAACTTTGCTTTGAAGGGGATGTAGTCGTTTTTAAATTTAATTCAATTTTAAAGGTTTCCAATTCATCACATTTAATTTTTCGATTCCTTGTTCTTTTCGATTGTCAATTCATTCGGGATCTTACAATCTGAAATTGGGACTAATATCACTGTACTTTTCATGTTTTTCTCATCTTTTTTACTAAAACATTTACGGATTCATGCCAGACTATACAGTGGATATATGGCTGAAAGTGCCTTCCAGGGCTAATTCTTTGACGCATGTTAGGGGGAAGTGTGGAAAGTTAGACATTTTAGTACTTGGTGAGAATCAAGAATTATAACCTCAATCGTATTAATTGGGACCTTTCTATACCCGTCATGTGTTTCACTACTCTCATCACTACTGTTTGTTTGTCAAAACAACATTCATTTTATATTTGAAACAAAATCCACTAAAATGAAATTCGTTTTTGTACTGCTGAGACCATCTATAAAAAGCGTGGAGAGATGCCCCAAGAAGTTAACACTTGCGGAATTCAGCTCTGGGACGGGCGCTGCGCCAGACATCCGCTGAAGCAGCTGAAAGGTGGGGCAACCGTCCAACCCACTGACCGCAGAGAAGAGAACCAGCGAAATAGAACGCGCTCTGTCCGTTCAATGAACATCGGAAACGAAATGCGGACGCCCACATCATGGGTGCATATGAAGTTGATGGAACCAGAGTAGACCATTTCCACTATCCCCCCCCCCAGAGATACCCTCCAGAGATAATGCGTCTTAGTACCCACTGCCACAAGTTGTTCGTCAAGAATCTCGCATGGCCCTGATCTCTTTAGTGATTTTATCTAATTGCTAATTGATAGACCTGCCTTTGGACGACTCTGTCCTTTGGGAAAGTTATGACAAACCTTCATAAGAAGTTGAAATTTACATACCCTTATCCTTACCCTTACGGTTCTAACCGCTTCATAGTCAGCAACTGTTCTACGGAGATCTACTCGTCTACCACTGAGTTCGATCGTTCTGGGTTCTATTGAGGTCTGCTCGTCTAGCACTGGTCGCAAGAGATCGGACAAGAATTTGATCTCAAACCTTTGAATTTTGCAGAACGATAATATTAGAGGAACAGTTTTCTTCGTGGCGGAAGCTAAAGTTCCACCCTCCGGTACTCTATATCTCTACGATCTTGTGAATGATCTTTACGAAACTTTTACTAAGTAAAATAGTTATATTCAAAACATATTTCTTCTTTCAACTGCAAAATGACCGTACTTTGCTTGTCAGTCGACAATACATCGTCATCACCTGACAAAAATAGATCTAACAAAAGCCTTCCGACCCCTCACTTTACTTGTATTAGTGATCCATTCACTTAAAAAGTCTTAATGAAGAGCGCATTCCCTTGGTATTATTTTTTATGTTTTAGATTGTGCACAAAAACATGTTTTTCACATCTTTTAACGATGTTTGTATGTATTTACTTTGGCACAACAGCTCTTTACGAGCTAACGCCTACCAGCAGCGTCCCGACCTTGCGGCCATGGGTTCAAGTGAACGTGTGGTTAGCACATAGTCATCCCTATACTGTATTATGGTCTTCTCAACCTGAGCTTTCTCATCGTCACACAGCAACAGATACTGGGTCATTGCAAGGAAAGCGAAAAACTTTTTTCCTCGACCGGGACTCGAACCCGGGGTTGCGCCGAGGAAAGCGAGCACGCCAACCAACGAGCCCCCGAGGGCTTCTTTTAATGATATCCTACATAATTCATAAGAACGTTTTAACAACGCAAGCAGTATTAGTGTTTTTTGAAAAAATATATTGATTATTCAGAGAGGTAAAAATTGTCACTTACCAAGGAAATTACAATTAGAAAAGCATAAAATTAAATTGTCACTGAAGTATTTCACAACACTACGAATAAATGTGGCAAAAGAGGCTGCGTTCTAAAACGAGAAAATGTGACTGATTGAATGCGAATTAGGTGTTGTAGAAGAAGTACAATGAAATGAAAAAAAACATTGACTGCTTCCTGTGAGCCTGGACATATGAAGAGAACAATTAACCGCAATGAGACAACAACAAAAATAGAATGTTTGCGATGCCACATCGCACTCATAAGATGAAACACGAAGTCCAAACCCAACCACGCAAAGCTGAAGCGACAAGAGAATGCTCTTTAATTCACCGAGATGGGCGGCAGTTGCTGAAACATCTTGGTGCTATTTTATTGAACAGATCCTTCCACCGAACGTCTTCCTTTGGAGGATTTTCTGAGTCTGTTCGCAGAATACGCGATTGTCTTTATGATAACTCTCGATTAGGACTCAAGCACACGCATTTGCTCATTAGAATGCATCTGCTGTATTTATTTGACGTGAAAATGAATAAAATGTATCATTATTATTTTACTAAAATGAGAATGGGTCTGTGTGCAGGAGCGAGAGAGAGAGAGAGCAGTTTCGCGCTTTCATGATTTCATTTTTCCAGGCAAGTGACTACTGTGGTGGTTAGCGTTTGTCATCCACTCGATGGATGATGGAAGAAAGATGAACGCTGGTGGATGGAAGGATACTTAGAATGCATGATACACGACAACACCCCCGCCACAGTCACTTGGGGTTTCTTACGTGAGACTCGAATCAGCAGCCTCCGACTCCGCAAATTTGGACGTTGTTCCAAGCCCAGCTCTTACTTTTATTAAGTTGGTTTCAGTATATTTCGTCACATACAATATATCTCACTTGTGGCATTTACATCACTCAACACGCAAGTATTCAACATAATGGAAGAACTCAAACGAAAACATTTAGAAGCTCTTAGATGTTTAAGATGGATAATGAATTTGAACGAATTTTGAGAGAAATTCCTCAATAAAAGATAAAATATCACCCAATTAACTGAAATAAAAAGCGTGAAGCCAAGAGTCATTATTTTATTTGTGGTTTATATCCAATTTTCGAAGAGACGGCGCAATGAGGAGTTCTAAAGACTCTTTCTCAACAGGGCCTCGAATCTCTACAGTATGAAGTTTGTGTTGAGACATTTTGATTATGATATTATTTGTGGAAAATGGCATTAAGCTCTTTAGCAGGAGGTTCCTTTACTGCCACTTGAATGTGGTTTGTTCGTGTCCAATGCATACTTTTATAAAGTGCAGTCTAATTCATTGGATGAAGTAGCGTCTCTCGGTGTAATGAGTATTAACATATGTGACTGATTAAGAACGAAAATGTTCTGCTTTTAACTCTGAAAGAGCTTAACCTTAACGTGAATAATACGATACAATTATTTATAAAATATCAATTATTCTAGCTGCAACAGTTGACTGCATTAAGAATTAATTGAAAGACATTTTCACACGTAGAAAACCTAAGTTAAATGATATTCCAAAAGGAAAACTAAAACTTCTGACTTATGGTATGAATTAACTTACCAATCAAAGTCCATAGCCCAAAATCCATGCATGGAAAATGCAGCAAGATATGTAATTTTTTTGTATTTTTAATTGATACAGGAATGTACTGACATGTTTTCTAAGTGATTACATAAACTAAGAAATGGAGTACTTCAACCTGATAATCAGAAGGACAAAATTATTTAGATTACCAACAAAAGTGCAAAGCACTAATCAGGCTCTGACTCCTAAATCAAATACATATCTTACAGTACGAATAGTTCATTATTTTCATTATATTTATTTGATCATATAATTTTATAAGAATGGTTAAAATGCGCTCAATAGTTCTGCAGTTCTTGTTCTTAAAGGCCACAACCATTATGTTAACCTTTCACTAACTGGAACACAATCGCTAAAATAATGGGAGCCCTAAACAATCCATCCATGAGCACGTGAGACGAGGACACGAACAAAGCAGTAGGTTGCAGCGCTTTCGAAGACGACTCGTCGCCATAATAAGTAATAAATAAGATTCGCCTTCTTCCTGTCCCCACCACCGCCGCCGCCATCGCCGGACGACCTTCTGCTCGGAGCGACCAAGTCGGTCAAGAGGCCGCGCCACGGCGTCCGCCCCGCGAGAGAAAAAAAAAGAAGAAGAAGAAAAAAAGCAATGACGCGGCGCGGTGGGCGGCGGGGAGCGTGTGGGGGCGGGGCAGATGAGTCAGCCTCCCGGGTCAGGCGATCTCCGCCGCTCTCCGCCGCTCAGCTGTCCGCGCGAGCGACCGCCCGGCGCCAACCGCTCCGCTGGACCTCTCCGGCGGCGCATGCGTCGCGCCGCGGCCTCAGGCGGTTCAGCACCCGTCTTATTCCACTCGGGGCGTTAGTGGCGTTGGAACACCCGTTCAATGAACAGGGGTTGGTGGTTGGCACTTCGAGTGGAGGGGAGTGATGTAACATGGTTACACACCACTACTTATGCCGGAGAGATGGCTCGGGCCATCAACTGATCTCACTGCAGTCTCTCTGACCGGAAGGTCCTAGGTTCGAGTGGCAGGATTTTCAACACTAGCTTATCAACTAGGTCGAATTCAGTCGCTGAAGGAGAATTCTAAGAAAACCGCCATTTCAAGTAACAAAATAATTATAAACGTAACGGCTCATGTATCTAATACATCGTATGAGTGACTTACTCTTAGATCCACTACACTGTCGCATGTCGGGAGATACGTTGGTAGCGTATGTTAGAACTTGTCCCGCCTAGGGCGGATCCCTGCTGGTGGGAGATATCAGGATGCAGAAAACCCGCAAACCGACGTTAGGTTGCCGTCGAATATTTCCATCCAAGGGGGAAAATCACCGCCACCTCCCGTGGTAAACAATTACACAGGAATAATGAACATGACACTACACGTATTGAAATAATGACCATAGTAGTTGATGCGCCCGGAAACATGGAATAATCGAACAAATCAAACAATAAAACTTGTACCATTTCTATGGAGGTACAGATCCAGTTTCTCAGTTACGTAGAGTAAATACAGATGCTTGTCAGGCCAAGAGTTTTTCGAAGGACAAGAGTATAGCTGTAATACAGGAAGGACTCGTAAAGCTCCCTCATGCCCCGAACACAACTTAAAACATTTTTTCTTGAAATGTTTATTTCGAGAAAAAAAGTGTTTTAATACATAATATTTTCCATTTTTTGGTCTTATAGTAGCGGAATTAAAATTAACAAGGATAAGATAGAAAAATAAAACCTACATTTATAAGCAAATTTATAGAAAACATTGGAACTGTTTGGTGAAAATGTCGTTTGGATGTTTCTGGAAGTGCGTAATTTAGATATAATTTCCATAGAATACTTTTGAGTTTTCGAGAAACTTCATAAAAATTATTTGAAGCATTTGTATTCACAAATGCAATAATGTACAAAAACGCCTATACTATAGGCGTTTTTATACTATTTTATACTTTTATTACTATTATTACTATTTATTTATACTATTTTTATACTATTTTATACTTTAGGCGTTTTTATATTATGAACGACGTGAGAGATATTTGAAAAAAACATTTGAGTAATTTAATTATCGAAAAAGCAAAAGATTACCTCAAAATGGCGTTTATGTTATATTATTCAGCACATTTTTACTACCTGTTCAAAACATTTAAAGACAACATTGGTACGGTTTTGGGGGAAAATTGTGTTTTATAATACAGCCAATAAATATTTCACCCAAAACTACACAAAACTATCAATATTTCCACACCTATGTAAGTTAAATAAATAATTGTGGTAAACTAATTTCAACTAAAGTGGAAAAAATCTTCAATAATATAGTTTTAGGAGAAGGACCAAAAATTTGAATTTTTTGCACGTACGAAAATTCAGAGTTAACAGTTAGAATCGTACTTATTCCATATTTGAATGGGTAAAAACCAGAACGGTATAAGAGACAATTTATAAATTCTTAGAAAAACGTGCTTATTTTAGGCTATACTTCAGTGGCAATGTATTTTTGTGATTTGCCGTCGTTTGTGAAAGCACCAAACTTTACAGTAATATTGACTTAAATATACTGTTTTCTCTGAATTTATAAAATGTCATACCGTTATTCATTTTCATTCATTTGTAAATGAAATTCACTATATTCTTACATAAAATTTAAAGAAAAAAATTGCCCTCATTTTTAAGAAAATTTTGGATGTTCCAGGAATTTCAGGTAAAGTATCCCAATATTTCAAAAAATCTTTTCAAAATCGCAGGGTTTTGAGACGGAGCAGATCTATTATGGAATTTTTATTTTGGAAAAAAGTCCTACGAATAGTTGATGTGCTAGTGTTGTCGAACGCATGTAAAAAATAAAAAGGAAAGCGAGAAAAATAAAGCACTTTTTCTGTACCACAGGAACCCGAAACTGTATTTCCGTTACGTAAAAGTATTTTCATTGACATCGCGCGTATATTGTTTCCGTTCAGTACATTTATAACATTAACAGCGGTTACTACTAACTATGGTTAGTGCATCAATGCAGTAGTGCAACATGCTGCTTATTGACGACAGCGCACCGATGCTCATGTCGCGGCTAGCTCATGGCGCTACATACGAATTCCAGACCTTGCTACACGACTCAATACTCGTTATATACATGCCCGAACGGGGTCGGGCGACGAGCATCTTTATTCACACTGGGGCTGACCACATCTCAGTTATTTAGTTGATGCAAAAATCCGCCTGCGTCGGGTCTCGAACCTACGTCGTCCGGGACAACGAAACTAATTGCGGGCTCGCAATTGACGCGCACCGCTTCGTGGAAGTAATTTACGTAGTCTGGTGCTCGGAACTTTCAGGGCGAAAGTCACGGGAGGGCAACCGGTGTCCAGTCGTATGTAGCACTAACACATTCATTATTCAACAATTATTATTTTGCAATTTATTTACGATGTGCTTGGCTCAATTTTTCAACAAGATAAAAGCAGGAATTACAAGAAGTTATTAAATTATATATAAGTTATTAAAAATCAGGTAACCAGTGGACACGATTGGGGCATGACAAAACGTTGTAGAAGAGCGAATATGAAAAGTTTAGTGACCACCACCAGCAATGAAAAAGTACATAACATGAAATGTATGAAAAACACGTGAAAAAGTTCGTATGTACTTTGGCACAAGAACTCTTTACGAGCTAGGGCCTACTAGCCAACGTCCCAGCCTTGAGACATGTAAAAATGTTCGTAATTAAAAGTGAAAACAATAATAAGAAAGTTACTTTAATTTGAGTTATACGACCATTGTGAAACGTTTAAGTATATATCGAAAGTATATGCGAAAACTACTCCCGATGTAACGGCTGTACAAGCATCAAAATCTGACAGATAGTACAGAACAGTAATCATCAGAATTAGCTCATCTGATGTGTACCAAGAGCTACCTTATTTTCTAATAGGAGACCTTTGCCCGAAAGAGATTGATAACTGCTAATTATTGTTTATTAAATAATCGTCAAGAAAGATGTCCCACGTAGTTTCTATCATCGGTGTTCAAGAAAAGGGACACATGTCGCTTTCTTGGAGTTGACACTACAAACAAATTAAGAACAAAATGTAGTTGAAGATACGTGTTAGATACGTACATTTTCTGCGTTAGATACTCCATCTCTTATAACAGAGTGCGTATTTAAGTCCTTTAGTAAGGTTCGTTGTTATTTTCCGTGAATTATTTCGAAATTGTTCATGGATATTTCACTCTCAGACGGAGTCTTCTTTTTCTCACAGGTATCACATGCTGATCCTCGAGATACTTATGCAACGTGAGATAGAAGAGTAAACGGCCGTTCTGTATCAGAGGGAAATGTTGACACTTGCAACTCGATAACAAGTAAACAATATAGAGACCGATGACATAATTGAGAAATTCTGGACCTACCACCATTTCGATATTTATTATTTTAGCAATTATAAGGCTTGCAGAAGTAGATAAAATGACCTTTTTTCATCATTTTCGTATTCGTCTCACTAAATCTCTACTTCCGCCGCCTCGAGTGTGATAACTCATTTAAACGTCGAATTCTCGGTGCTGTTTCAGACAGCTACCTTGTTTGCTGTTTCAGCAAACGTATCAGCCTATGATTTTCTATGAGATAAGATGAGAGGTTATGGTTTCATGTTTTAACGCATTTTGTACATCTCTGCGCATAACCTGCACCGAGTATAGTTTTTTTTAAATCTATTACTGTGAAAAAAATCTATGAAGGTTGTTCCATTAAATAAGAAACATGCAAGTAAAACTGAACATCTGTGGGCGCCTTCAGGATACTGTTCAAATGGAGACGAGCACTTCCGGACCGGTAAAACTGACAAAAATCTCGATAGCTCCTTCAAGGAAAAAGTCGATTGCCATTTTTCGCATTCGAAAAAGAATCAGCAATATGGCGTTAATTTTTCTCACTAGCTTATTGAAACAATATTTAATTTTTAATTTCATTGATGGCTTTAATTAAGATGGTAAATATATTGGTTCAAAAAAATACAATCATCAATTATCATTGTGTAATTATACCGTCAAAATATTATAAATGTAAAGTTGGCTTTCAAAAAGACGCACGGCGAAGAATCAATTCACGTATTC